CTGGAACTAGCTCTTGTAGACCAGGCTGGTCTCGAACTCACAGAGATCCGCCTGCCTCTGCCTCCCGAGTGCTGGGATTAAAGGCGTGCGCCACCACCACCACCTGGCGGCAGTTCTTTCTTTCCACCGTGAAAGTTCAAGAGATCAAACACAGGTTGTCAGGGTTGATAACAAGTACCTTTACCTGCTGAGCCACCTTGCTGACCCTCTGTTGGATCTCAAACCTGGAACAAATGGTTAACTGAGGTGCCTATCAAACATATCGAAGGTGACACGGCTGCCAAGTTCTCTCAGCATCCCTCAGTCCCTACCTGTTACAGGGTATGGATCACAGCATACCCTGCCTCTTTACCCTGAACTCTCCAGCCAAGGGGTGGGCGGCTCTTCTTCCTGTGGCTCTTCTTTATGTAAGCCAGCCATTTTGGTTATGCTGGCCCCTTTGCTTCTTTTGTTCCCTTGACCTCTTTGTCTCTTAGTATCTTGGCTCCCAGATCTCCCTGTTGTAGGAATTGAGCAGAGTCATCGTAACCAGCATACATATTAAAATGAACAACCTTTTTTTTTCTTTTAGAAGTACTTTGACGTTGAAGAATCCTACAGCAAACAGAGATTGTTTCCTCGCGTTCTGTAGAATTATTTTGCAGAAGGGGCATAGTGGCAAGTCTGTGACTTTGATCACAAGATGCCTCAAGCACACCCGAAGCTCTTGCATTATGTATATTGCAAAAGATACATAATAAAGGACTAAATTCACGTGGAGACGTGATGCTTTTCTTTAGCAAGTTATGTAAATTAAATTAGGGACCTTGGAATGAGGAAATACTTTGTGTGACAATCAGTAAACACGCCTTTGTAAGATTGTTTGGAGCTCAGTCCATCAAAGAGACTGAACCTTCCTGATACAACATAGGCCTAAAAATTTCAACTTGGGCTGGGCGGTGGTGGCGCATTAATCCCAGCACTTGGGAGGCAGAGGCAGGTGGATCTCTGTGAGTTCTAGGCCAGCCAGGAATACAGAACTAGTTCTAGGACAGCAAGGGCTGTTACACAGAGAAAACTTGTCTCAAAAAACCAAACAAAATAGTAGAAAAAAAAACTCATCTTGGAGAGCCTTCTTTCTTCAACCACCCTGACATCTTCCCTTTTGCCTTCCTGTCTCTCCTCACATGGCACAGGTCGGTCTTCCAGTCACATCCAGCATGGTTTCTTCCAGACGTCTCTGCCTCAGGCTATACTCTCTGAATATCGACTATAAAACTTCTCCACTACACCGAGGAACAGTCATGTCTTTTTTATATATATATTCACCCTCATGCCTTGTTAAAAGTTTGTTGTTGTTTTTCTTCATTCAAGCAGTTCAGAGGCAGACTATTCTCTGATCACTATAGTTTCCTGGACTGGGCTGACACCAAGGCTCCACCCATTTGCTGTGTGAGGGCTTTTCCTCCTCAGTAATCAAGGTAATCAAGGTTAGACCTGAGGGCTCTCTCCTATCACATCTACCTCACTTTCTCCTGCTATCTGATTCTTCTCACTGATTCCAAAGTTTTGGGTTCCAAGAGAGGGCCTGTTTAGCACAGGTTTATTTTGTATTTTCTTTCCTTTAGTGTTCCCATCCCCAGCAATAAGAAACAAGCCAGCACCTCCATCCCATTCTTCTTCTTTGGTTCCTTCACTTTTCCCAGCAGCTTAGAGGCTGATGTGAAGGACAACATCACACTTGTTTTTCTCATTGTAATTTCTCCCTTACACAGGTAATTTCTTTCTGGGCAGATGCCGTAGCCTCCAGTTGCATGTCTTATGTCCTGAACAAGGCCTACGCAACTGATGTCACATCCTGTTTATGCTCCTGTCTAACACATGCTGCATTTGGGGGCTGTAATATATACTTTAGTCTATAAGTCATAAGACAACATGGGGTATCCCCATTCATTCAGGAAGCATCCCACTCCGTACTGCATAGAAGATGGCTATTATGGGATTCTCCTCACAGACACAGACACTACATTGGAGCAGCCTTAGTTGGATCTTTTCACCTACAGTAGGCTGAAATGTTGGGCATGAAAAGGAAATAGTCGGGGAAATGTAGTTGTTACTGCAGCGGCAGAGCATGCCAGTCCATACCACAGGGGAAAAGAGCCGCACTGGATTGCCTGGGGTTTGCCCCACCTTCAGACAGCTCAGCTCCATTGTAGGTCTGATCACCCACAGTAGAAACAACCCATGTTCCTCTCAGATACATCTTTGGTTCTTTTATGCTCCTGTTTACAGTTCATGCTTTTTCTATCTATTCACCCCAGGTAGGGCACCAAAACCAGACCTCAAGTTTAGGTGGGTGAGTTAATGAGTTCAGTTGGGGGTGGATACTTACAGGAGCATGGGGAGGGGTAACCCACAGAGCATATATACCAGGCTTTTTCTTTTGGGCCACCAACCAGCTCCCAAATCATGACATAGAGACTCATTATTAGTTTTGAATGCTCGGCCTTAGCTTCTGCTCACTTCTGGATAGCTTTTTTTTTTAACTTTAACTTAAATTAACCTATTTATCTTCATCTACATTTTGCCTTCTGACTTTTTACCTTTCTTTCTATATGTCCTACCTCTGTGTCTGCTGGCCCCAGGTGTCTTCTTCTCTTTCTCCCTCATTCTCTTTTCTCTTCTTCGTTATCCCTCCTCTACCTAACTATTGGCTGTTCAGCTCTTTATTAGACCAATCAGGTGCCTTAGACAGGCAAGGTAAAACAAAGGTGACACATCCTTATTATCCTTAAACAAATGCCGCATAAACAAATGTAACACACCTTCACACAATTAAAGTAGTATCGCACCGCATAAACAAACATAACACATCTTTCCATAGTTAACTATTCCACAGCAAGCACAGACAACTGATAGACAACCACACTGCATAATTCTAGCAAGCATTAACTAGGGTACACCCTGGGGAAGGGACAGTGCTTTGTGCCCGTCTAATGCACTCCTTCAGAAGCCGCATGAGCCCACTCTCCCTTCCACACGGAACATTAGTGGATCCAGTTTTGGGGGGGCGGGTTTCATGTGGGTGTTATCGCAGCTGCTCTGACAGCAACAACCATACAGTGCCCAGAGCACAGTTTTTGCTACCTGGAAGCCACTGAAAAAACTTAGAGAAGACACAATTAAGGCCAGATGATGAAGCAAAGATTGGAACGGTGTAGCTATGAGCAAAGGGATATCATGGGCTTTGGGTAAATGCCAGAAGCTAGAACAAGACAAGGAAGGATTCTTCTCTTGATGCCTCAGAGGTGAATGGCTGAGCTGACATCGAGATTCAAGATTTTTGGCCTCAGGAAGGGAGATGAAAGTTGGTTTCTACTGTGAAAACATACCCAGTTTGTGGTTATGCTATAGAAGCCCTGGAAACAAATACAGAATGGAAACATGGAAATTCTTGGTACCACATTAATCGTGATAGAAAAGCAGCTCTATTTGGGGGTAACATGCTATGTTCAAATATTTTAAAACATCTTGAGACACTCCTGCAGTATTAACAATTAAATTATTAATAAATGGTGACATTGAATAACGAGCACAAATCAGTGTTAGTATTGTAGACTAACTGTCACAAATAGAGCCAACAATGTAAAAGGGCTCCAAGGGAACATAGTTGATTTATAATAGGAACAGAGCTAATTTGAATCACTTCCCCCATTTGCCAAGTTACATTTTCTGCTGATTGTAGCACTCACTGGTCGGACCTCTCTAAGAGTTTAACAGGAACTAAAGAAGTCCTTAAAACATGCACTGTACCCAGCACCCCTTCCTCAAAATTTCCTTGAGAATTTTGCCGGCAAGCAAATAGAAAACTCTTAAGCTGCTGCCAGGTGATGTTGATGACATTCCTGTGTGTATCTGTAGTTCTGGCATGAGTACAGGTCACCACATGGCACCTGTGCGTGCGTGCGTGTGTGTGTGTGTGTGTGTGTGTGTGTGTGGAGCTGGCAGTGGTGTTTTTGAACATCTGAATCAGATCACAGGGAACCAAAACCAAGAGGCTGGTATGTAAGGGAGTTTCCAGGGTTTTCCAGTGTTCTGACAAGGGCATCTTACTTGGGTCAGGGTAAAGAAAAAAGAAGTACAGCAAATGATTTTGTAAATGAGTATTTCTTGAGACACTTTCTCAGATTTTTGTTTCCTTTTTACTATTTTTTTCTTTTTTTGATTTTCGAGACAGGGTTTCTCTGTAGCTTTTTGGTTCCTGTCCTGGAACTAGCTCTTGTAGACCAGGCTGGCCTCGAACTCACAGGGATCCGCCTGCCTCTGCCTCCCAAGTGCTGGGATTAAAGGCATGCGCCACCACCGCCCGGCTCCTTTTTACTATTTTTTGAGACATGGTCTCTCTATGTAATCCTGGGTATCCTGAAACTCACCATGCAGACCGGGCTAGCCTCGAACTCACAGATACCTGCTTGCCTCTGCATCCCTAGTACCAGGTACCGCCCAGATTTCCGTTTACCTAACCATGCACAAACACTTACTAGCAATAGGATCCTATCTCTGAGAATAGGAGTAAGCCTATTTAAATTGGTTATGAGAAACCTGTTTTTATTTGCATATAATTTCACCATGAACCATCAAGAATGTTCTATTAAGCCAGTTAGCATCTAAGACCCATTTTTCAAATCATAATTTAGGCAATATTTACTGGGCCGGTTTGGCGCCACCCACCTCCCAAAGATGGCGTTCACTGGCTTTAAAAACCACACCTTCACCCCTCCTCTGTTGCACAGGCCGGGAAAGACTAGGTGGACCCCTCTCTGACCATGCGGCCCCGCCCTCCAAGACGTCCCCCCCACTTCCGGACACGGCGCCCCGCCCACCTCGCGTCTCCGGAATCTCGGCTCGGCCTGGCTCGATCGCTCTGCGTTGTTTCTCGGTTCCGATCGTCTGACTTCGGCGCTGTCTTGTTTGCGACGCTGTCGTGCGCTTTACGGTGCGCTTTACGGCAGCGGGCGGGGGCTAGGGGGGGGAAAGCCGCGAACCGGTGCCAGGGCCTTTCGGCCGGGAGGCGAGACAAGCAGGCGAAGTTGATGCCCGGCGGCGGGGTGAGCACGGCGTCTGGCCGGCTCCACTCCGCAGCGGATCCAAGAGGAGCGCGGGAAGCGGCCGCGACGTTCCGGAGCGGCCCCGCGGGCTCGAGCGGAGGCCGAGGCGGAGCAGGTGGCTCCGGGCCAGGGAGTGGAGGCCCCGGGGGGCCCGCGGGCAGGATGAGCCTGACCCCGAAGGAACTCTCGAGCCTGCTCAGCATCATCTCCGAGGAGGCGGGCGGCGGCAGCACCTTCGAGGGCCTCTCCACAGCCTTCCACCACTACTTCAGCAAGGCCGACCACTTCCGCCTGGGCTCGGTGTTGGTGATGCTGCTGCAGCAGCCGGACCTGCTGCCCAGCGCGGCGCAGCGTCTCACGGCGCTCTACCTGCTCTGGGAGATGTACCGCACCGAGCCGCTCGCCGCCAACCCCTTCGCGGCCAGCTTCGCGCACCTGCTCAACCCCGCGCCGCCCGCCCGCGGCGGACAGGAACCCGACCGGCCCCCGCTCTCAGGTACCGTCCACAGTCAGCTGTGCGGGCGCAGCCAGCTGTTCTGTCGAGAGCTTGCTGGCTAGGACAGTCCAGTCTCTTTGGAGAGAGAGGATCATCGCCTCCCGCCCCATTTACACTCTAACTAAAATAGGGAAGAGGTAGCCAAAAGTTCCAAGTTGGGTGCTTTTTATTTTTATTTGTTTTTTTTTTTTTTAATTTGCTGCACTCCAAATGATCCTTCCTAACCGAAAAAGCCAACAAACACATCGTACAGCTCACCGAAGGGCTGCACATAGCTTAGTGTGTCAAATACGGCTCATTCATTATTTTAAGACCCTGGGGTATGCGAAGTTAAAGCCAGTGACACCGAGTCTACCCCACTCCCCTTTTAAGTCTCAGAGTAAAGAAGTCGGTGTTGAGAACATGAAGATGTGGCAGGTTGAAATCCGCATTACACAGCCGCCTTCTTAGGCTGCTGGAATGTCATGTGGGCAGAGGATGACATTCTTCTCTAAGTCATGTCTCCTGGAACAGATTTGTAGAATGTTTACTTTTGCAGCATTGCCGACATCAGATGTAGGTTAGATTCGAGGATGCACCTTTAACTTTGGTACCACAGATGGACAGGGTCACCCCCTCTACTCCACAAGCCTAGCCCAGGACTCTAGAACAGCTATACCCACCCACTCACACCCTCCACCCCGTCACAAAGCTGCATTTTAGATTTTTTCTTAAAAAATCTATTTTTATGTTCATTGGTGTTTTGCCTGAATGAATGTCTGTGTGAAGGTGTCAGAAGCCCTGGAACTGGAGTCACAGACAGCTGTGAGCTGCCATGTCAGCGCTGGGAATTGAACCCCGGTCCTCTGGAAGAGCAGACAGTGTTCTCAACTGCTGAGCCATCTCTCTGTATCCCCCTAGATTTTTTTTTAAAAAGTGTATTTAAACTGGGCTGTATTCCAAGCCCTAAAAAAGCCTTTCTGAATGCTACCCTATGTAAGCTTTAGCCTTACGCAGGGATTGAAGTTTTTGATAACAGAAAACTCTGAAGAGTTATTATAGCCATGCGTTTCACTGACATTTCTCTAGATCGCAGAATCTCAAGTGATACACTTGTTTATAAACTTTATATTTGATTAACCGGAACTCAGTTACATTTAGTTATAAAAATAGCCTGGTGTGGCAAGTAGCAAGTGCTGTTTTACCAGATTCAAGTGAACTTAAAAAAGTAACCATTGGAGAGAAATCGGTGTACATTTTTATTTGCAGGGTTTTTGCCTCCTATAACTCCACCAGAAAAGTTTTTTCTTTCCCAGCTGATGCTGGCACCCCCAAGGGAACTCTTCAAAAAGACACCTCGCCAGATCGCCTTGATGGATGTTGGAAACATGGGGCAGTCCGTGGACATTAGCGGCCTTCAGTTAGCCTTGGCAGGTAAGGAAGGGCCGTTTGAGCATTCTTGTCTGTTCACGAGAGCCTCTACTTAAAATCCAGATTTATTACTTTTATTTTTTTTTAATTTACCCATGTTCTGCCCCCATCTCCCTGTCTGCCACTGCCCTTTTGTTTGTATTTTTTTGTTCTTTTTTTTTTTTTTTTTGGTTTTTCAGGACCGGTTTTCTCTGTAGTTTTGGAGCCTGTCCTGGAACTAGCAATCCAGGGTTTCTTTATGGCTGTTCCTGGCTGTCCTAGAACTTGCTCTGTAGACCAGGCTAGCCTCTAACTAAGAGCTCCTCCTGCCTTTGACTCCTAAGTATTGGGCTTAAAGTATTGTTTACCAACCGCCATGGCAGATTAAGCCCTTCTACCCCAGCATCCCCTCTTTCACTTTTTATTTTCTGTGTTTTGTGTGCTTTTAGTTGATGCCCCCGTCCATCCTCTCGTCCCACCTCCCTGCTGTCCACCCTTGCGCAGACCTTTTACTCTAGCACCCCGTTCCCAGTCATTTGTGTCAGTGTGGTATCGCCGTCCTTTCCCTCCTGAAAGCCTCCTTTTACTCCCTCAGGTTCCCGTTCTAGTTTTCCAGAATTTGCAAACATTACCACACTGCATATACATATATAAGCAGAGTTAATTTGTATATGTGAGGGAACCTTCTTTGTTTTGCCTGCAGGAGAGAGTGACTATCGGGGCTTTCTGTCCTCCCCTCAGATGAATGCTGTCCAAATCCCTTTCCTCCTCAGAGCTCACCACACGGTTCATCTCTGAGCCAGACATGGTAGCACAGGCCTTTAATTCAAGCACTCAGGAGGCAGAGGCAGGTGGAGCTCTGATTTCTGTACCATCCAGGGTTACATAGTGAGACCCTATGTGAAGAAAATAAAAGGTAAAGCGAACATCCCAAATCCAGATCATCTGTGTAACACATGAAGCAGATATCTTAGTAAGATCTGTGTACTAAAGTTATGTTTGCGGGTGATTTCTATTGTGTTTTCTTAGTTTTACAAACACAAGCAAACAAATTGAGCTTTAGTGACTGCACGGAGCAGAGATTTACCATTAACAGTGTTCGTTTCAGAAGTTTGATTTAAAAGTCCCAACAAATACCTGTTATATATTGATTGGCTTTCTAACTCTTAACTAGTTATGTGTTTTTCTATATCTTGGTTAATAGTTGTTATTTAACTTCTTTTATTTTTATAATCAAGAATGAAAAGGTGGCATTGGTTTATTTCAGTTAGCATTTTTCTTGTTTTTTTTTTTTTTTTTTTTTTTTTTTTTTTTTTGGTTTTTCGAGACAGGGTTTCTCTGTGGTTTTGGAGCCTCTCCTGGAACTAGCTCTTGTAGACCAGGCTGGTCTCGAACTCACAGAGATCCGCCTGCCTCTGCCTCCCGAGTGCTGGGATTAAAGGCGTGCGCCACCACCGCCCGGCTAGCATTTTTCTTGTTGACTGAACAAGACTGAATATCATATGGAATGTTTGAGGTATCTTTTCATATGTCTTTGGCTAGTTTTTCAGTGAGTTGATGGTCTTTATCGTCTAATTTTAAAGCACTTTTTATCATGAATTTAGTTCTTTGTCAGTTAAGCCTCAGAACACCAGAGTGCATCAGTATCATGTTAAGGAAAGAAAGCTGAACACTTTACCTTGGATTAATTTGACCAAGATTAAACCCAAGTTTGACTTCTTTTCTTCTTTCTCTATGTCTTCCCTCAGTCTGTAGTTTTGGTCTGGCTTGTCTGTAGTCTCTCTGTCCCCTTGTCTATGTTGTTGTCTTCCTCCCATCCCCTCAGGGTTTCTCTGTGTAACAGTCCTCGCTGTTCTGGAACCCCTCTATTGACCAGCCTGCCCCTGCCTCTCGAAGGCCAGGATTAAAGGTGTAAGCTACCACTGACCTGTAGTCTGTAGTTGCCCTGGCATCTGTAGTCTCTCTGATGTGTGAGTGTGACTCTGTCCCAGTGTTCCCGTTGTCCTGTCGTGTGTATCTTTGCCTGATGTCTAACTGTCTCTAACAAAGGCCATTACTCTGTTTGAACATTGTGGCATCACATGGGAGAGGAGTGAGGAGACTTAACAGGAATCCTTATCAGCACCTGGCTGTATAAGGTCTCTACACACTGTTTCAGATTACAGCTGTGCATTTAGTTCATGTTGTAAAGCTGATACATGGGAAATCCAAGAGCAAGTCAAGTTGGTTGTTACATTGTTCTTTGAGTAGACAGCAAGTTCTTAGGTCAAGTCTTAAGTGACCTCAACGTATATTATTAACTTGGGCTGTGAAGTCCAGAAAGAATTCCAGTTTCTTAGAATGTAAGAGATATTTTACAAGAGATTAAAATCTTATAAGAAAATATCTTTCAAAAAATTGTATCATTAGAGTCTTCTGGTTTTGTTTTATTTCTTAGATTTAGTTTATATACATACAGATGTATATACACATATGTATGTTTATGTACATATGTGTATATACATCTGTATGTATATATATATGAGTGTTTTGCCTGCATGTATATATATATACATATGTGACTGGTGCCCTTAGAGTCAGAAGAGGGTGTGGAATCCCCGGAACAGGAGTTATGCATGGTTATAGGCTGCTGTGCTGATGCTAGAAATTGAACCCAGGCCTTTTGCAGAAGCAAGTGCTCTTAACCACTAAGCCATCTCTAGCCTCTAGCCCTTTATTTTTAAAATGTCAGAGTCTGAAACATGGCTTTGTATCCTCGTTCCTAACATCGCTTCAAATGTTTATTGGCCATTTATAGTTTCTGTAAAATGTCTGTTAAAATCATTAGTTCTTTTTTCCTTGTCGGGTTATTTTAATGTTATTGTTGTTTGGTTTATAGGAGTTAAAAGATAACTATTTTGTACCCCTGCTCTATTCATGGTGTTCTCAATTTCAAAGTGTCCTTTCTCCCCCCAGTCTCAAGTAGCTAAGGCTGGCCTTGAATTCTTGATCCTCCTGCCTCCACCTTCCAAATGCTGGGGTTGCATGTGTCTTGTCCCCAGGTCTGGCTTAAAATGTTTGTCTGAATCTCTTCCAGAACGTCAGTCTGAACTGCCAACCCAGAGTAAAGCTAGCTTCCCAAGTATCCTCAGTGACCCAGACCCGGATTCCTCTAACTCTGGATTTGACAGCTGCGTTGCCTCTCGGATCACAGAGTCTTTAGTTAGTGGACCAAAACCGCCTATTGAAAGTAGGTATATTTGAATTAACTTTACATCTGGCATTGCTCGGTGGAACTTTTCAGTTTTTGTAATACTTGTTTTCATTGAATCTGATGAGAGACTTCCTGCCTTACTGTCTAGAATATAGTAGAGATGAACGGTAAAATTCAGTTTTTTTTTAAAGCAAATTATACACTAGGATGCTTATTACTTATTTGTTATATGCCTGTCTGGAGATAGAAATTTGTATTTTATTAAAATGAATCTGAGTTTGTTTTGTTTTAATAAGACAGCCTCTTGTGTAGAGTAACATTGAAATCTGTGCAGCTGAGGATGACCTTAAAATCCTAATCTCCCAAGTGCTGGGGTTATGTATGTGCCATACCCAGCTTTTTTGTTTTCTTTAAAGTGTTTGGGATCAAACCCAGGACACTGTGTAAAAGGAAAGCACATACCCAGCTTTTTTGTTTTCTTTAAAGTGTTTGGGATCAAACCCAGGACACTGTGTAAAAGGAAAGCACTCTACAGTGAAGCTACACCTTCAGCCCCTGAAACGGACCTTCGGTAACTTCATGTCTAACAGGGTCATTTTATACTTCTTCACTAATATTATTATTACCTTTTGTCTTTCAGTTTTACTGACTTGATAGCCTTTATTTTACTTTAATAGAGGAAAAAAACAAAACCCCCAAAACCCACTGAATTTGAAATAATCTAGCTGTACCATTTGGTTTTACAAGCTCCTGGGTGATTGAAGACAAAGACATTCTGCACGGGGATAGGAACATCATCTCCTAATTACAGAGCACCAGGACTTGGAAGCTTCCAGTGTGACTTCCATTTGGGTTAAAGTGGTTTTACTGTTTGAAGTTTCAGCTAGTCACAAGCATGTCACCAGATCCATGGCACATGGTGGTTTTTGGTTTTTGCAGGCAGGGTTTCTCTGTGTAGCCCTGGCTGTCCTGGAACTCACTTTGAAGACCAGGCTGGCCTTAAATTCACTGAGAACCACCTAGCCTCAAGTCAGAGATCTGCCTGCCTCTGGGTTTGATTGCACAGGCAGCCAGCCAGCTGTGTGTGTAACTGGGTGTAGCCACACCTTGACATCTTTACCTCACATAAAGAGCACTTCTCTGAAGAGCTGAAGACTGTAAGTGGTCTGAGGAGAGAGAGACACAGGAATTCATTCTGGTGATACTAGTGAGCAGACAGTGAAGATGTGTGCTTGGTGTTACTTTGCCAGCAAGACTTTGTCAGTAAATTCGAGATTCATCTCAAATTTGGCAGAGCCTAGGATCCAAAACAGGACATACTACCTTCTGTCCTATGCGGGAAATGCTCTCTGGGAGGCTGGCAATGTAACTGGGTAAATGTCACTGTTAGGACAAAAAGAGAATCAGTGGAGAGGGAGGGAGAGTTCTTTGTCACAGTTTGCTAGAAGTTACTTGGTTACTCCTGGGTCTTTTGTGGGGTTTATCATGCAGGCAGGACCCATAGCTGGGTATTTAGGTGGCTGGGTGTCTGTCTTGTTAAGTAGTAAAATTTACTGTGCAATTTGTCTTTCTTGAGACTGGCCACTTGGATATAGTACTGTGGGTCACTGGGAGTTAGGCCACAAGTGTTTATGTAAGATATTATAAGCCACTGGGGGCAGGCTTGTTGACTTGGTTGTCATAGTATGGGGTTTAGCTTTTCATCTGTGTAGTGACCAAGTGAGGTGTGATGTTAGTTCAGGAGGAGTTTTACTGAGTTTATTTTACTATGTTGATAACTTACACATCAACCTTGAGTTGCAGGGATAGCTCCAACGACTCCATGTAGCACTATGAGTTTCTGAGTGCAAAAATAAATAAAATCTTAGTTATAAGCTGGGTGTAATGGCAAATGCCTTTAATCTCAGTGGCAGATCTTTGTGAGTTTGGGATCAGCCTGCTCTATGTAGTAAATTCCAGGACAGCCAGGGCTATATACTGACACTTAAAAATAGTAATATTAACAATAATAGTAAAAACTGCTAATTTTTATCTGCAGCCTAATGGCTACATACTTGACTTTAAAAATTCATGCACATGATTTCCTCTTTCCAAAAAGCACATTTGGTTCCTGGCATCATGCTGATTTTGTGTGTGTGTGTGTATTTTCTTAGTTATAATTTGAGTGGAACTCTGATTTTATATCATTACTTTTTGAAGCATGAAGTTGATCATATATTCTTATTAAAGGCATTCTTGCACTTCATTGAATGAAATGAATATAAGGTGTGTGCAGATGGTAGCTCAGTGTACTACTCTTATTATAGGCCACTTCCGACCAGAGTTCATCCGCCCACCACCACCTCTCCACATTTGTGAGGATGAACTGGCCTGGCTAAATCCTACAGAACCCGAGCATGCCATTCAGTGGGATAAATCAATGTGTGTTAAGAATAGCACTGGTGTGGAGATCAAGCGAATCATGGCCAAAGCCTTCAAAAGCCCTTTATCTTCTCCCCAACAAACCCAGGTAAGTATGTATGTATGTATGTATGTATGTATTACAAGCAGTGTCCTATCCTCCCATAAGTGATAAGTCGGCATTCAGGAGGAAGCGATCTCTGAAGCTGTGTTCTGGCCTTTCCAAAATTTGAAAATTTTGCTCTGATGAGACAAGTCTAATGACTGAAAATCTAGACTCTGTTCATTTTGTCTCAGGGAGAGGTGGTGGAATAGGAAGGGTCTCAATTTGGGGCACTGTCAGCGCATATCAGCTAGGTATATCATGTGCTTTGCTATATTAGGCTGGACAGTAACTCGAGGATGTGTGGAGTTACTAATATTTAATAAGCAATGAGGTTCAGGGAGTAAGACTTTAGCATACGATGTTTAATGGTGGACTGAGGTTATATCTCCTGCTGTTCGAGATTACTAGAGGGACCCCTTGGGGAAGAAGAGCAAAGATACTCCAGGTTATGTATTTTATTAGGTTGGGATACTTTCAGGTTAGAATTGGTAGGAAGATACTGTTACCTCCAATCCAGCTTACCACTTAAAATATGCATTTTAAAAAGATTTGTTTTATGTGTATGGTTGTTTTGTTTGCATGCATGTCTGTGCACCATATGGGTACAGTGCCCATAGATGCCAGAGGAGGGCATCAGATCCTTTGGAGCTGCAGTTAAGATGTGAGTCTCCATGTGGGTGCTAGGAACCAAACCCTGGTCCTCTAGAAGAGCAGAAAGTGCTCCTTACCACTGAATCATCTTCTAGCTTCCCCACAAATATTTTTTAAGTGATGCAATAGCAATTGTTTGTAGTTTCTGTTTGTAGTCCAGTGTGGAATATATTAGTAGATAGAAGGATATAACAGTTAAGACAAAAGGGCATGGTGCATGCCTGTAATCCTAGCACTTGGAAGGTAGAGACTGAAAATCAGAAATTAGGTGGTGGTGCACGCCTTTAATCCCAGCACTCGGGAGGCAGAGGCAGGCAGATCTCTGTTCGAGGCCAGCCTGCTCTACAAGAGCTAGTTCCAGGACAGGCTCCAAAGCTACAGAGAAACCCTGTCTCAAAAAAAAAAAAAAAAAAAAAAAAGACCACTGGCTGCTCTTCCAGAGGTCCTGAGTTCAATTCTTAGCAACCACATGGTGGCTCACAACCATCCATAATGAGATCTGGTGCCTCTTCTGGCCTGCAGGCAGACATGCAGGTAGAATACTGTAAAAATAATAAATAAATAAAATCTTTAAAAAAAAGAAAATCAGGAATTAAAGGGCAGGCTTCACAAGATAGGGTCTCAAGACCAGCCTGGGCCAAGGAGACAGCCTCAAGATAAATGATTTTGTTTTAAAGAAAAAGTGTGTATTTGGAGAAGGAAAACAATATTTCCATCTCTTTGAATTGCAGAGTGTGGCTGTAACTTGAACTTTAAAATACTATAGGTAGAAGACCTGAAGTGTCTCCTATTCCATCCCTTTCTAGAGTATTTCTCTTTTTTCTGGATAAGACAGGGCTTGGCTCTTGTTCTGAATTATTCTGTGGTTTATGGAGTTGTGTGTGGCTTTTTTTTTTTTTTTAAACTGAAACAGGGTCTTACTATATATACCTCAGATAGCCTTGAACTCACTCTGTAGCCCATGCTGGCTGCCTCCTGCTCTAATGCTTATATTACAGATGTGTGCTACCACACTCAACTTGGCTTGTATGTTTTGGGAGAAGTTGGTAATTGAGATTTTAAGGATGACACTATTATGGTCATATTGTATACTCCCAGACAAAATCAAGACTGTCATGTCTATAGGAAGAATGACTAGTGGATTTACAAATTGCCTTTTATTTTTCTATCATCACAATTCAAATCTGAAAAAGCATCAAGACATAATGAATATTGCTTTGAGGGAAGAAATTTAACAGATTAACTCAACAAGGATAATTGTATAATTCTTATATAAGACATGGGTTTATATGTAGGAAACATACTCTAATATGACTCAAGAACCTCTCACTTTGGTTTTATTTAGCTCCTTGGTGAGCTGGAAAAAGATCCCAAACTTGTTTATCATATTGGCCTTACTCCAGCGAAACTTCCAGACCTTGTGGAGAACAACCCTTTAGTCGCTATAGAGATGCTGCTGAAACTAATGCAGTCGAGCCAGATCACGGAGTATTTTTCTGTCCTGGTCAACATGGATATGTCCTTACATTCAATGGAGGTCGTAAATCGGTAAGCTTTCATGTTCCACCAGAAGTATAGTTAATATTCAAACCCTTTTCCTTGTTCTTTCTTTTCCTTTTTCTGATACTGTTAGCTTACATTGAGTCTTAGTATTCACTACATGTGAATTTAGCCTCCTCCATTTCTAAGAACTCAGTTGTTAAATTTACACCACTGTCTTTTGTGCCCTCTGCAATCCAGGTATTCCATTTCTTGGCAGCCAGTATTGGCAGCATGCACATGTGGGTCTTAGAATCGGACTTCTAGGCATGCGGTCCTGAAGATTGCTAGTGTTCTCCCAGCTTTTGTTACTGTTGTTGTTGTTGTGAGTCAGAGTCTCTATGTATCCCAGACTGCCCCCCCAGCTCTTTCTTGACTTTGCTCTTCAGTGACCCTCAAGGGTGTGTTCTATATAGGTTTCACCTTTTATTTTCTTTACAGATGTATTTTAAGGTAAATTGTGAATTAAATGTACTTAGGTGGGTGGGTATTATTTTTCTGAGGTAGTCTTTACTGTTTTTCTTTTGAAATAGGATCTAATAGCATCCTGGCTTCAAACTAATAGCAGTTCTGAATGCCTCATTCTTTGAACCTTGGATTATAGGTGTGAGCCAAAACACATTTTTTGAACATCTCTATATAAGTTGGCAACTATTTTAAACTTTAACTGAAGAGTGTGTTAAGTCAACTGGTGACAAAAGCTTGGCAGGTAGCTCGGTGCACAAGAAAGAGGCGGGAGAAGAAAGGAAGCATGAGCTTTCTAATTACTTTGTAAGCATTGTGTCACTGTGGAGCTGGCTGGCTACCTGTTGAAAACATGCTGTTTGCATGTTCTCTTTGCTGGGACCTCCTTTATCATAGTCACAATTGCTGTTTTTGCATTGGCTAAATTTGCCATTGGATGGAGCAATCTGAGTGTTCTTGGATTCTGCCTCACTGCATTCCTGTAGTAGTGTCTTTACCAATCAACTACTGGTTCTGCTTGTTTCCTAGCACTCATATAATTTATCATTCGCAAGGATGAAGCAGCTTTGCTGCTGATGCAGATCTCAGAAGGCAGAGCGTGGGTAGCAGCTTTCTTAAAGTACTTCAGTGCCTTAGGTCAAATAGTTTGCAGTAGCCAGCCCTGTGTCTTAATATTTCCTGGGTTGAACTTGACCTCAGTGTGGAATATTTGGTTATTTTCCTCTAAGGCAGGGTTTCTCTGTGTAGCCCTTACTGTCCTGAAACTTGCTCTGTAGACCAGGCTGGCCTCAAACTCAGATCTGCTTGCCTCTGCCTCCCAAATGCTGGGGTTAAAGGTGTGCGCCATCACCATCTGGCTGACCCATTTCATATTTCATTTAATGCTTTGGAAAATACCCTCTTGAGTTTAAAGACTCTTAAGCTTGTTACACAGTTGCTAAGTCTTCTTCAGGACTTTGTAATGGTCAGTTCTAAACCTGTGTGTCTTGTTCTCAGGAAGGCCTGTTTTGGTCTCTGTCTATTCAAGTAACTTTACCAGGTTCATATTACTTCTGCAAAGCTTCATTTTAATCTGATTATATGTTGTGCTGTTTGGTCACCTTCATCTCAGACACACTGCCTCTCACAGTGCTTATACTTACAGGACTTTTCTACGTTATCAATGATGGTAATAACTGTTGAGGTTGAGCTTGGAAGTGGGTAAGACCAAGACTGACAGTGATTCAGCCAGGAACACAGTATGACACTCACTGCTTAATGGGTAATTACAGAGTAAAATATGTAAATATAAACTTAACAGGACTGTCAGAGGTTTAAGTGGCTGTGGCTCTTGGGTTTAAAACTAGAGAATTGGGTCACATAAATTTTCACTAGATAACCACGGGGAAATTTTGACTTCATGCTTATATTACTTCTTAATATTAGCAAATACAGTTAACAGCTCAAATTTTCTTTCATGAAACAGACTAACTACAGCTGTTGATCTACCTCCTGAATTCATTCACCTTTACATATCAAACTGCATCTCTACTTGTGAACAAATTAAGGATAAATATATGCAGGTGAGTAGTAGAAATGCTGTAATATTATCATCTGCCAGGAAAACAGGTTTCTAAAACTTGCCCCTTTTTCTTTTCCAGAATCGCCTGGTGCGTCTTGTATGTGTGTTTCTCCAGTCGTTGATCCGCAACAAAATTATTAACGTGCAGGACTTGTTTATAGAGGTACAGGCCTTCTGTATTGAATTTAGTAGGATACGGGAAGCTGCAGGCCTCTTCCGGTTGCTGAAGACACTGGATACTGGGGAAACCCCTTCAGAGACCAAAGTATCAAAATAATACCTCACCAGAACTTTCCCTTCTGTTGCTCAACTGTATTTGGATTGGTTGTATTTGGATTGGTTTTTAAAACTGTTCAACTCTTGAGTGGATTGCTTGCTTTATCTAAGAAATATAAATGACACTATTTACTTAAGCAAAATTTCCTTTTTCTTAAGAGGAGTTTCCCATGGGTGAATTTTGGTAAGAACTTGGGGAAATGTATTTTTTAACTCTCTTGCTGATGACAATCCATAGGAGAAATAATTATTCTAAAAAGTTATTGTAGGAAAGGAAGTGCAGGTGTCTTGCTTTTTTTTTTTTTAGTTTAAAACAAATCACCCACTTTTTTCTAGGAGAGTAACCTAAAAGCCAAATATTGTCCTTTGTAGCTTCTAGTACAAAACATGTTCAATGAGAGTAAGTGAAGACACTGAGAATTCATGGTTCAGTCTGTGCTCAGAGCAGCTGAGTGTAGTTATTAAGCAGAGTCTGAACCAAGGACTTAACAATTCAAGGTTTCTCTGTGTAGCTTTGGCTGTCCTGGAATTCGACCAGGCTAGCCTCAAATTCAAGAAAGCCACCTGGGGGCTGGAGAGATGGCTCAGCGGTTAAGAGCACTGACTGCTCTTCCAGAGGACCTGGGTTCGATTCCCAGCACCCACATGGCAGCTCACAACTGTCTGAAAATGCAGTTCCATGAGATCTGACACCTTCACACCAACAAACGTAATAAAGTTAAGTAAAAAAAAAAAAAAAAAAGAAAGCCACCTGCCTCTGTAGTGCTGGGATTAAAGGTGTAATCCTGGTCAGCATACACTTCTTAGCAACAGTGTTTCTTGAGCTTCTAACAAATATGGGCACTCTCATGCAAGGACCTTTTGCTAAGCTGTAATAGCTGGAACTTTATCAATGGTAGCCTAACATGGGCATGTTTTTTGTTTTATAGTTTTCTGGTATACCAGAAGGGTGTACCCTAGATGCCTGTTTGGTGGGGAGGTAAAGTAAGGTCAGTGCTTAAGACAATGGTGCCCTAGACAGGGTCTATGTAGCCCTGACTGTCCTGGAGTTCTTGCTATATGGACGAGGCTGACCTAGAATTTAGAGATCCTCCTGCCTCTGCCTGGTAAAGGTGTGTGCCACCACATCCAGCTATTATTATTTTTTTAATATCTAACTTTGACATGCCTTTTTATTTAGATTATGATTTCTAGAATAAATTTATAGGGATGGAGCCGGGTGGTGGTGGCGCACGCCTTTAATCCCAGCACTTGGGAGGCAGAGGCTGGTGGATCTCTGTGAGTTCGCGACCAGCCTGGTCTACAAGAGCTAGTTCCAGGACAGGCTCCAAAACCACAGAGAAACCCTGTCTCGAAAAACCAAAAAAAAAAAAAAATTCATAGGGATGGAAATCTGTTCTCCAACATTTGGCAAGAGTTTAAGGAAGCCAAGCTTGGTGGTTTTGTTTTATTTTACAAATTAGTGTTCTGACAGTGGGGAAGGAACAGAACTCCAGATGTTTGATACATTCTTCTTATTCTTAGGATTAGAGGAATGGGCATTGAGCCCCTGTAGGAGTGACCCACATCTGAACTAAACAGGTGACTTCTCTCAATGCCCCAAAGTGGCCACCACCATTTCGAAGATGGCACTGGGCAAACACTGTTTTTTTTTGTTGTTGTTGTTGTTTTTTTTTTTTTTCCGAGACAGGGTTTCTCTGTAGCTTTGGTGCCAGTCCCGAAACTAGCTCTTGTAGACCAGGCTGGCCTCAAACTCACAGAGATCCGCCTGCCTCTGCCTCCCGAGTGCTGGGATTAAAGGTGTTCGCCACCACCGCCTGGCCAAACACTGTTTTAAAATGACAAGTTTTGAAGACTCACTGTGGGAAACAGCTTTATAGCTGATGTGCATGTCTAACCTCTAGCTAGCCCAGGGTAGCTCTAGCTGTAGCCCAACGCAAAACTGAAAACTTAAAATAGCATTTCAAGGATGGTGTGTGCATTTTTAAAGCTTGATTATGTGGTTCTTGAGTGTGAACAAGTGTCCTGTCAACATGTCAAAAGGATGGTTGCATGAGTTTAGGAAAATAATTTAACCTGTAGCCAACAAGGACAGAACTGGGACCCATGAATACATGCCTAAAACTTATTAACATATAAAAGCTGTCAGTCTTATTAAGCTGACACCAGGAAAAGATAATTCACCACATTTATTTTAATGTAACTTCCAAGACAAATGCAATGATCCCCACCCTGCTAAGGTACGAGTTTGGAAGGGACCCTTGCAGTGAGAGCTGCAGCAAAAGACAAAAGCAACTCAAAAATTTCTGCACATCAGAAGACAAGCTGTGTTGTGGCACACAAAGGAGAAATCAAGTGTCCATATTGATTTTGGAATCCCAAATGAAATTCTCAAATACAGACCCTACAATGAGGAGGTCAAGATCACAATTGTGGGTCTCACTAGGAAAACAGAATATAAAGAGTAGCTGTGGTTGGTGAACATTATATGTACATAAAGTTGGTAGCACCACTAGGTTACTCTAGGTTTAGCATGTTTACACTAGGTACACACCCTGGTTCAGCCCTGTCATCCCAGCTATCTGGGACTACTGACAGGATTGTGTAAACATGGAAAATTAAAGCCAACCTAGGCCACAAGTTACCTATCATCTCCAAAAAAGGAGGTAGAGTTAGAATCTTAAGTGAGACTGAATAACCACAATCAACTTTTAAGCGTAATTAAATGAGTTTAATTTAACATAGGTTAAACTTCATGACATTTTTTTTAGTTCAATTTAAATCTTCAAATCACCTGTCCAAAAAAAAGAACACTAATCAGTAACATTTTAATAGAAGTTTTTTAAAAACACATTTTGGAATCCCAAAATACAACCACTTAAATTATTCAACAGCATTTATTACCAATTTTATCAATTTTACAGAAACGAGATCACTAAGTTTATAGGACACATTCTCATACCTAATTTTAAGTAGCACACTTCATATATTTTAGGTAACATTTCCATAGTAATTGTGTATCTCAGAAATCTATGATCTACCGGGCAGTCTACAATATTTTGAATAGGTCTTGTTAACAGGGGTATTTTATCTGAGAAATTAGCAATTAAGAAAACTGTCTACATTAGGAACATCCAAGACTTACAAAAGAACTGACACACAAACCTGAGATTCGGTTACTACAATGGGCCCACAGAAAATACTGTTTTTCTCAGACTTGTCATCAGCCCAGCACGTAACCTGCCATTTGTCATAGAGACTGACTGACCTTATATTTTCAGTGAATGGGCACAGATACTTCAACTCATGATTTTCTAGACTTTGCTGAGAAAGAAGTCTCAGCAAAGTGTGTGGCAGATACCACTATAATGAGTGATTCAAACTATTTCTGAAAATGAAATGCTGATGTTTCTAAGGCTTTAAAAGCAAGATTGAGCTGGGAAAAAAAAAAGACATAGGTAGCTTTTCTAATGTACTGTGCCAGAGAAACACATCACATTATACCACAAAGCTATCTCTGCTTCAGGCCAACACCTAGTGCTTAGGAAATGGCAAAGCAATGTTTTCCTGACCTTAAGAACTGCTTTTGTCTCAAAACAGTGTCCTCAAGTTCCAGCTAATAATAGATACACACTGATTAAACCTCATCCTTCCTTGAGCAAATAATATCAACTTGCCTCAAGGAAACTGCTGCCCAATTTAGCTATCTTACTCTGGAAGGGCTACTATTACTTTTACAATTCTAGCAGTCCTTGATTTGGTAAGTGTATCTAAAGGAACACTGATTCTGCTTGATCAGGGTAGTTAGTCTGAGACACTGATTATTTTTCTTAGCGTGGGAAGGCTTTTCCTAGCTCCTCCTGGAAAGTTGACCATAGGCAGGAAGCTTCCACCCTGGCATTACTGAGGTCAGACAGTGATTCGCTTCGGGAGGTTTTGTCATCGTGTGCCCACATAGAGAGCAAACTGTTGATGGAGACACTGCAATTCGGCCTTTTATTGTCATCATTCCTCAGCAGCCATAGGAAGAATCATCTGGGAAGAAAGGTTTAAGACCCCAATCAATTCAGCATGTAAGAAACAATTACCTGCCAAGTGAGACCATGTGCTCACAAATAAGGTTTTCTGCTGAGAGAGCCAAAATATCAATCAATACTGCAGAGTGAAAAGCCAGGAGAGCAGGAACCACAGCAAACCACCGTCTGTGTCATGGACACTGCCTCTTTCAACCACTGCCTCCAATCTTCAAAACACTATTCAGAGTCAGAAGTGGTCCACATGCTTGTAATCTCACCACTGGCAAGGCTGAGGCAGAAGGATGGTGAATTCAAATTCAAATTGCATTAAACAGTGAGACCCTGCCTTAAAAATTCTTCAGTAATCGTAAATAATTAAAAACAATTTACATCGCCCTATCACAATATCCTTTGTAAAAGCCAGCTTCATTTACTGTTGGAATGATGACATTTTCCCTGGTATGTCTTAAAAGACAGCACTAATCTACTTGGTAAAGAATTCCTATTTGCACTGACCACAGTGGTTCAGTAAGAATTTGTAAACCCAACTGAGTCTCTTCACATAAGACAGATTTTCTACTTCAACAGCTCATCATGTTCATCTGGTCCTACATTCTTTCAGTAAAATACACATTTTACTATGAGTAGCTAGAATCCAACTGTAGAAAAATAGCTTAGTAAGACACTTTCATGTCTTAGATACAGTTTTAAGGATAAATTTAGCCTTTAAAATTGTATTTACTTGGGGCTGGCGAGATGGCTCAGCGGTTAAGAGCGTTGCCTGCTCTTCCTATTCAATTCCCAACAACCACATGGTGGCTCACAACCATCTGTAATGAGATCTGGTGCCCTCTTCTGGCCTGCAGGCATATTATGTAGACAGAATATTGTATACTTAATAAATATTAAAAAAAAAATTGTATTTACTTGGTGCTGCCTTGGCATAGCCTCTGCAATTCTCTGGAGACCTGGGGCAGCCCTTGATGCTGATGCCTGTGAAGATGGAGGTGTATGGTGCCATGGTGCTGCCCTAGGGCCAGCTGTAGGACATGGTATCCATGCATAAACAGACACTTGTATGTGAAACTGTCAGTTATTACTACATACAAAAATCTCAAAATTGTACTGACTGGACTCATTTTTAAAATGATAGCAATTCCAGGCTGGAACAATTCCTATATATTATGGAAGCAGTATGTATAATAGTCCAATATACCTATGACTGCTGGACACATACCATCCCATTTTGTTAAGCCCACTAGTTCAGTGACTACTGAAAGCATGTGGTTCAAAATGGGAAGATCTACCTTCCAGCCTTTTGGAGCTTATTCAGGTTATGACTGTAATGCTTAGAGAAGGACCTTTGCAGTGTTCTCCATCCTATCATTTCTACATCCTTTCCACTGCACCTAAAAACAGGACCATCAATGACCTATATGCCAGGCGTGCCAAGGGAATTTATATACTCATTTGGATACCTCTCTCCCTAATCCCAGTGGTTCTGCCAGCTGTCCTTACCCACCAGGTGGTCCATACTCTGCCACAAGTTCCCACTTTTCAGACTCCTGTGGTCAGAGATGACACAATCAGTAAGGACACTATCGGAGCATCTCTCAGCAGTCAGTGACAGAGATGGCAGATGGAGGAAATGCATCATACCTAGGGAGGATTCAATGCCTTGAAACAAAGAAAGACCATAACAGATCACTGGAAACTAGAAGAAATGGTCACCCATTTAGATAAAAAGTAGCTGAAGTTGATCAAAGCAGAACTTGTGAAAAAAGATAAAGAATTAAGTTTTGCGCTGGAGAAAATGGAAAATTGATCTGAAAATGATACTGATGAAGTTATTCCTAAACCTGTATGCAGAAGAGATGCCGTGAGGATACTTATCTTTTCCCTAGCAGAAGCCTCGAGGACAGTAATAGATCTGGAAGTGTTTCTGACTCCTGTTTGTCTCCTGTCCTGTAAGTAGTTTCAGCTGAAGGCATTAATGCAAAAATCAAAAAGACTATGGATCAGTGAGCTCCAGTGACTTGTGGTGCCAGCCAGAAACACTTCTTAAAGCATTCTTTCCTTGGACTGGAGAGATGGTTCAGTGGTTGGAGAACCCAGGTTCAATATCCAGTACCTACAAGGTGGCTCACAACCTTCTGTACCAGTTCATCAGATCTGATGTCCTCTTCTGGCCTCTTTTGGAACTAGGCATGCAGATGGTACACAGACATACATAGAGGAAAAGTACCCATACACACAAATGAACTTTATAAAAGCACTCTCAGTTTATCACTGAAGTGTAAAATATTTTGAATCAAGAATATATTTTTCTCTGTCCTTTGGGCAAAGACTGGCTTTTATTAATAGACTTTTTATCCTTTGTAAACTATTTGTGCTGACTGTTGGAACTATGCTAAATAAAATCTGTTACATAAAATTTTTTTGTCAATAAGCATTTATTTTTGTCTACAAAGTAGACATGCAACACAAGTTCAGGATCAACAAAGGACTCCTCACTCTTAAAAAGTGTATTTGACCACTCTAGAACTTAGGCAATGACCTTAATAGGCTTTACCTGTAGGAACACCAAGCAAAGACAGATAAAAGGTCATAGAGAAACTGAGCTATGTTAAAATCTCATTAGAAAAATGTTAGTCTAACAACAAGAATCAAAATTTTAATTTAAATCTTTTTAATTTTAAAGATTAGATCCACCGAAATATACTTAATTTAAGAACATCACAGTATGCCTACTTGAATTTCTCAATCAATATTTTAATACTTTTAATGTGCAATATGGCATTCCTGCCAATTTTTTTTTTTTGGTAGAAAAAAACATGGATAAATGTCCTCCTTCAGGTAAAAATGCAAACCATAAAATCAACTAGTGTTTTTTTTTTTTTTCCACAATTCCAAACAATAAAAAGGTATGCTTGGTTTTGAAGTCTCTATGGACAATATAGTGCAAGACAGTTGATTTCTCTCTTCCCTCAGTTCCTTCTTTTTGGCTTGAACTCAAAATCCTCTTGCCTCAGCCTCCTGAGTGCTGGGTTTACAGCTGTACACCCTGCCTACGGCAAGATTTCTCATTTTACAAGTTCTAAAGAGTCTCTGCTTCAGGGAAAAGTCATTTGATCAATTACTGAATTATATTACACAATTCTACTTTAACTTAGTGAGCTTTGTCTAAAAGCCCGAGAAACAGAATCTTGGTTTACAGTACCACAGAAGCTAGTCTAGTACTCAGAACCCCGCCCCCCCCAATCTGTGACAGTCTGACACAACAAAACTTATAATATACATCATACTTTAGTAGATAAATAGATCAAGGCTAATTAAAAGTCCTTTTAGGAATAAAATATCTCAGCCCTTTGTATATCAAATCTGAATCTGAAAGGTAAAGTAAAATAATATCCACTGTTTTCAAGTATACAAACTATGCCCTAGAGTAAAAAATTAAATGTCCTGTAGTTCAAGCCAAGGCTCTGTCGGTGAGGCTGTCAGTGAGGATGTGTGCTAGCAGATGGATCCTCCATGTTGAGGGTCATTCCTGCCGGCTCCTACAACAAAGCATCAGAAGCCACCCTAGGTCAGTAGGTCTGTCCAACCTCAGTTACACATTGGAGAAACAAATTATAGAAACATTTAAATAAAACTTACATGTAAAAATGACAACCATGTCAAAGAATGCCAGTAAGAGAAATACAGAAATACCCCTTCCTTCAGTGTGACAGACAGGCTTTCTTTCCAGTGTTACCAGAGCCAATATTCACCCAGTGACTGCCTTTGAAGGACCTCTGTGTTTACACATCTCACAAGTGGGGACATGCTCTTGAGAAAAAAAAAAAATATTTTTTTTCTGGATTCTGAACTCAGTGGCCTAAATCATAGTATGAACTTTGTCTCAACAGGATTTCTAAAAGCAAAATTCCTTACTCTACTGAATATACTGCCCTGTAATGTCAGTTCAGTGTTAGCCATAGATATGGTGAGATCAAGGCCCAGCTTTATGATCCTGTGAAATCCATTCCCTAGTGCTTCTACTCTGATGTATTCCTTTTCCTTTTTCCTCTAGTATTGGTTTAAATTTAAAACTTATAGGAGTTTGGAAGACGGTTCAGCTCATAAGTGAACCCAACCTCAGCCCAACCCCCAGAACACTCATAAAAAAGATGGGCATGGTAATGTATGCTTGTAATCCCAGGGCTAGAAAAAGTGGACAGGGATGATGGATGCTGTGGCTCCCCAGTCAGCGTAGCTTATGAGGGAAGTCCCAGGTCAGTGGGAGACTTCACCTCAAAAAATAAGGTAGATAATGCCTTGATGGTGACCTCTGGCCTACACATGTGTGCACAACTGCACTTACACCCACATACACATGTGCAGTCCACCGCCCAATACACACATATATGTATACAATACAAACTGAAGTTCTAATATTTCTATAAGTTTTCCTAAACACATTAAAAGACACACTGATTCAATTTGAATCCTACTGTTTTGACAATCTTTTAGGATGGCCAAATTCAAAATTAGAAGCATCAATTATTCTCAATGAAAATAATCTATAGATTAATTCAATTCTACTAAAATATTTTTTTTAAATTTTTTATGATTTATTTATCTTTATTTTATGTGCATTGGTGTGAAGGTGTCAGATCCCCTGGAACTGGATTTTTTCAGACAGTTGTGAGCTGCCATGTGGGTGCTGGGAATTGAACCCGGGTCCTCTAGAAGAGCAGTCAATGCTCTTAACCGCTGAGCCATTTCTCCAGCCCCTCTACTAAAATATTGGTGGGGTTTTCTTTTAACAGACAATATAAAAATTTTATTTTATATGCATGAGTATTTTGCCTGTATGTATGTATGTACGCACGTATGTACAACATGCATGTCTGGTGCTTGTAGCAGCCAAAGAGGGTACAGAATTTCCAGGAACTGGAGTTACAGATGGTTTTGAGTCATCATGTGAGTGCTGATAATGGATCTCAGAGTCTGAAGAGCAGCTAGTGCTCTTAACCATGGAGCCATCTCTTTAAGAACCCCCTCTTTTGTTTGCGGTGTGGGGGGGTCTCACAATGCAGTTCTAGCTGGCCTGAAACTCCCTATATAAACCAGGCTGGCCTCACACTCACAAAGATCCACATGCCTCTGCCTCTCAAGTGCTGGGATTAAAGATATCAAACCAGGCTCAACATAATTTCACAATTAGTCTTTAAAGAATGCAGAAGAGGGTAAGATGGCTCAGAGGGTAAAGGTACTTGTTGCCAAGCCTGGCAATCAGAGTTTGATCCCTGGGACCCATGGCAGGATAAAACCGACTACCACTTGCATGATGGTACCCCAACAAATAAATGAATAAATTAATTAAAAGGGGGTAGAAATGGAGACAGAGCTCAGTTGGTAGAGTGCTGGCTTAGCATGCATACAACCCCGGGTTTGATCCCAAGCACTGCACAAAACCCTGGTGGTAATTCATGCCTATAATCTCAGCACTTGGGAGGTGAGATCAGATAATCAGAAGTTCAAAGTCACCCTCAGCTACCTAAGGATTTTGAGGATAGGGTGGTCTACATAAGACTAGGCTGTTTGAAAAAAGAATTTGAAATAAAGGGGGAAAAAAAACCCCACAAATATTAGCAAAACACAGGTCAGTAATTCTATAACCAACACCAAGAAAAAGAAAAGTTTCCTATTTAGCATTCCCTAAAAGGTCTAAGGAGACCCAAGAAGATAGAAAAATTAGAAAGAAACTGAAGGATACAGAAATTAGGCACTGGAAGATGGCTGAATGTCAGAGTTTTCCATTCTTAGCACTTAGAAGAAATAAACGGAGGGAGAAGATACAAAATACATGACAAAGGTCTTATACTTTCAATATTAAATTTAAAAAAGTTCTAAGAAGGAGCTAAGAACATATAGCTCATATAGCCCTTATTAGACAAGCCCAAAATCACAGGTGATTGACATCACTGCAATACAAAAAAAGCTTTTCTAGAGAGTCTATGGTGGTTTGAACAAGAATGTGCATAGGCTCATATATTTAAACACCTGGTACCCAGCTGGTAGAGCTGCCTGCCTGGGCAACATCAGTGGTACAGTCTTATTAGAGGTGTGTCTCTGGGGGTGGGGCTTTGACGTTTCAAAATCCAGTTCTTTTCCTCTCTCTGCCTTGAACTGTAGATGAGATGTGAGCTCTCAAGCCTGCCTGCTGTCATGCTCCCTACTGTGGTCATGGATTCTAACCTTCAGGAAGAGTGAGCCCCAGTAAGGGCTTTCTTTCAAGTTGCCTTGGTCATGATGTTCTGTCAGGGCATTATTAAAGTAACTAAGACAAAGCTTGAACTAAGAATTAGTATGAAAACATTAGTTGTGTTGAGAAGCAGAGGCAAGACTGTGAGCTATGCTATACTACACAATACAATGAGACTACAGAAAACCAAAGAAAACACAAAATAAAATAGAGATAAATTGAGCAACTCAGAAGAATATTTAAAAACTTAAATACAACATGGTCATAAAAATTTATCTACCAATGACATAGAAAAGAACAGTTTTCTGAATATTTACATGATGTTTCTTGAGAAAGTATTTATCAAAAGGTTAAAACGGTATCTCTAAGTGTGAGACTGTATGCTTTCATATTTTTTCTTCCCATTTCACTCCATCACTGATAACACCATCACAGCTGCAGCCACATACCTAGTAACGCTGTGTCTTCCCCTGCATCTTCTTTAAAACTGGGGCGGTGTGGCGCAGAGTCACTCGAGGAAGATGACGGAAGGTTGCTTTCTCCACTCCTGTCCTCATCTTGGGATGTCACACTGAGATTCCCAACAGAAACACTTCCTGGGGCAGCTTCTGGAATGGGCTCCTGTGTATCCTCAGGGTCCCCCTTGAAAGGCAGACAAAGGGCAATGGTTTTCTCAGTGACATGAGCACAGTGTGGGGTCTGTTCCTAGTAACTTAACATAAAACATCTGACTTTCTACAGGGAAGCACACCACCTCTTCTATCCAATGTCATGATAAAAAGGGGTTAATTCTCAAGACCTAAAAGGTTTGGTTTGGTTTAGTCTAAACATAGTTTTCCAGTCTCATGAAAGTTGTATCTGACCTTTTAAACTATTTATTCACCAAGTGGCTCTTTCCAACTGTCTTCCTGTAGAGTCTGTGAACTTGTGCAGCCTCACTGATGCTCCCTCAAGAGGCAGCCAGGTGCCCTAACGACAGCCCCAGACAATTTTGCAGCACAGCACTAGAGTATCAGAGATAACCAGGCTCTAAACAGCTAAAGGCTTTAGATTTTTGTTTGTCTTCTTCCTTATATATAGTGCCCTCCCTCTTCTACTTGATGCTTTGAGGGAAGATAATGAAAGGAAGGTCAGAGACTCCTTTAGCACCACTACATAAAGCCTCAACATCAGCGGGTGGGTGTTCTAGACATTCTTTTTGGTTAATCAAAGAACTAAAGCTGCATGCAGGCAGATGAAACTGCAGGAAAATGACTAATGGATGGTAGCTATAAGCATGGGAGTCACAGGCACAGGCACTCAACTTCCTTGGGTTCTCAAGATGCCCTTGGTCTGCTCTATGAGCATTTTAAAATCACCCCTTCCTCCCTCACTGGTAACTAGACATCCTAGACACTCAAAACCGTTCTTCCCTGGCACCAACTCCTAACACATTCCTGTCGTAATGTCACAATGCCAACTCCTGTTCAGCCCCATCCCAACCTGTTTCTCTAAACACCTGCCAAAACCAACCACATGCTAACCTTTAACCTGACAGTTCATATCCTTGTGCACACACCACCTACCTATTACACCCTGAGTCAAAGCCCTCATCAGTTCCACTAAAATATACTCTCTCCATCTTTCCATGTCTAACAGGCAGTACAAGATCTTTCTTTTCTGATCCAGATGGCATTTACTATATTCCCTCGTTATGCTGTATCTCTGGATATGTACTAGTTCCATTTGGCCTAAAATAGAAATCCCCAAGAGTCCTTATCTAGCAAAGGAGCTTGCTTATCTCTGAGCCAAGCTCAGTGTAACATCTTGGATAGTATCCCTCTGATCAGTGTCTTCGCAATGAATGCAGTGGACACAGCTGCAAACCAAAGGACTGCCTTTAAAGTCTGCGTAAAGGGTTACTGGTAACTCTTGAGTGCTTACAAGGGAATAGGGACCTCTTAAAATTGAAACATTGAAGGACACATAAATTCTTAGCTTTGAAGTTATAATAACTTTCTGTCCTTTACAAAGTAAGTCATATATATATATACTCTGGTTCTCTATATTCTATCTTAGCACAAGCTTAGGAGTGGACCTAAGAAAGGGAGTTCAAGACTTTTTCAAGAAAACATTTCACTAAATTCTATATTTTTTCATTTAATATTCTGAACCATTCAGCTTCTTGCTGAACTGTGGTTTCTATAGTAGAGGGCAAGAACCAAGCACATTAGGGAGGTATGCTATCCCAGGCTAAAGGGACTGAAAGAAGTTTAGGTATTCTCTAAGAAAGATTTCAGGACAAAGCAGGATGGGGTTGTGGTACAGTAGTTCTTAGGTGCCAACCTTTCCTCCCTGAAGGGCTATTGCAAGAGAATTATGAACTACTATGTGAAACATTCTACAAGGCATGTCAGCAGCAAGAGGACACAGAAGTTAGAGGATGATGTCACACCTGTAGCCTATGAAGACAGTTTTGTTCCATGGGCAGTTCATTAGTGACACCATTATAGAAGCTTACATGGCTATTATGGCTTAAAGTTTCATAAAATGTACATCCAGTTTATGTGCTGTGGGGAACTGACTCTGAGGCTTCAATGCAAGATATACAAACTACATTCCCAGTCACTTCAAATTTTTATCTAAAATACTTTATTATTTAATCAATAGTATTTTGAGTAATAATAGATCATATGGGTAGGTATCTAAAAAACAAACAACAACAAAACAAAAAAAATTAAAGAAGACCTCTCCCCATATCTTCTCTACGTAGGGAAAAAATAACTTATGTTTAAAGCCAATTCCTTAACAATTAGCTATAAGTTTTAAATTAATAGAGTACGGACAATAAGAGTGCTTTATATAGAGGCTGTGAAGATGAAATGTGGCTAGACAGTCTCTTTCATTTTACTCTTACATCCCCTAAGAAAGGTCCTTGCCCATCAAACTATCACAAAATAATAGGCAAAATACAGGGCAAATTTAGCCTGTATTAATGAACTGTGAAACCCAGCAACAGTGAACACAGATGTCAAAAACTGTAGAGTGTATTATGTGTAAAATGTGTCTCTGAAGCCAGAAAATGTACAATGTTCTTCTGTTTCATACATTCTATGATTCAGGTTTACGTAAGCCAAACACACACACACACACATACACACACACACAGAGGACACTATACAGAACTATACTGCTCTAAGTAGTAAAAACTGGGCAATATGCTAGCATAATTTTTCTGTCATAAATCAGTTCACTGACTTTCGTGGACTACTCTACAAATTCATTTTTAATACAGAAAACTTCCTTAGGTAACAGCAAGGATACTAGAAGGAGCATTGTGTCTGTTCCTCTTGCCTCTAGTCAGTGATAAAAGTGAGATATTCAGAAAGAACTGGGGCAGAGATTGAATATAAACAAAAATGTAACAAACCCAGTATCCCAGGGCTTTGATGACATCAAGTTTACACATTGGACACGTTCGGTGATCCAAAAGCCATGGGTCAATGCATATTCTATGAAAAATATGCCTAAAAAAATTAAGTATGTATTAATGCCTTAAAATAAATGTTTCCATCTCTTATAAAGGAAATAATGCATTTTACCAACACATTCCTCCATTAACAGTTAACCATTAACAGTATAGCAACACTGTAGTCTAGTCACATATCTATTTTCTTTTCTACTTTCCATTTAAACAGATTTTGGATTTAATAGTGAAATGTTTTTTAAAAAATAAAACTTATCTTCATTCCACAAAAAAAAGGATGGATCAACTTCTACCACATACTAAGCACATCTTTTGTGCGCATTATATTTTTTTGAGATATGAACATGCTATACACTCAAGTTAGCCTAGAATGTGCTATGTAGTCCAAGATTGCCTTTAATTTAGAATCCTCATACTTCTGCCTCCCAAATACTAGAATTAGTGTTATGTGCTACAATGCCCAACCACTTTTAATGTGCCTTAGTAGAATACTTATAAACCACTTAGGCTAGTAAATCCCATAAATAAGCTATCGCTAATAAACTAACCCTAAACTGGTCATGTCTTCTTTAAGTCTATAAATGACTCAAGTGAAAATACATGACAATACCTGTGAGTGGCAGGAAGAAGCTATTTCCTCTTGCGTACTTTTATGAACCCTTCTTTAATAAACATCTGTTGCTACACACATACATGTTCCCTTCTTGTTGGTTTATCTTGGTTTCCTGCCCCTCCCATGTTATGTATGAAGTTAAGCAGGACAGATTAGGCTCAAGCACCAGTTGTGACTAGACCACAGGACCACAAGAAGCTATGTATCGCCTAATTTCTACACCTACACCATGGGCTTTTCACGGTATCTACAAGTATATACCCAGTAACTGTTCATTTTTATTACTTTTTATTTTGGAGACAGGGTTTCTCTGTATAGTCCTGGGTGTCCTGGGAAATTGCTCTGTAGACCAGGCTGGCCTCGAACTCCCTGAGACCCACCTGCCTCTGCCTCCTGAACACTGGGATAAAAGGTGTGCACTACCACTGCCCTATTTGAAGACTTTCTTTAGGCAAAAAGCTTCAGAGCCATTAACAGCAATTCTTAATTATGAAACAGTCTAGTCCAGCTTATCATTTAACCTCAAATCAATACTGACTGACCCAGAAGAGGTTTCCAAAAAACAAGAAACTTCCAGTTTTGCTGGGTGATGTTTAACTCTACTTTCAGTGCTTTTCTGCATACCATGATCAACACAGACTGGCCTCAATTCATTGAGTGGCTACTGTGCTGACCTTATATAAATGCTGACAAATTTTAGACACTTTTCTCAGGGAACCCTTATTATTTTGATACTCATTTTTTTTTTATTTCCTCAACAGAGGTATCAAGAAGGCAATCTTCTAAAACGTCCCATAGTAAGAGTAAAATGTTTTGTAAAAAAAAAAAGCAAATACACTAACTTGAAACTTGATTCTAAAATATGTAAAGTATAACTGAAATTTATCAGACTTTTTTAAAAACTCTAATTTTTATACATACAACAAACTCTTCTGATGATCAGCAGTTGTTTTTAAAAAAAGTAGCAGATTATTAAAAATGAAATGGCTACTTCCCAGTGTTAAAACTCCACCTGTGCTACTGAAACCTGAGAAAAGGGAGGAATGTTTTTTTTTTTTTGTTTTTTGTTTTTCGAGACAGGATTTCTCTGTAGCTTTGGTGCCCATCCCGGAACTAGCTCCTGTAGACCAGGCTAGCCTCGAACTCCCAGAGATCCGCCTGCCTCTGCCTCTTGAGTGCTGGGATTAAAGGCGTGCACCACCACCGCCGGGCCGGGAGGAATGTTTTTTTACACAGCTTCAAAAGGAACCCACACCCAGGGCATAAATAATAGCAAACTACTGCCTACCTTTAGATCATTGAAGGCCCTAGGTCCTTCATCCTTTCAGTACAAGTTCTGCTTCACTAGGTTTATAATAGTCTACACAAGCCCTGATAAAACTAAAAGCCAGTCTAAAACAAAGATATAATGGATCATAGTGGTCACCTAGAAGTCTCTCAAGCAGAGAGACTTTAACAAGTCTTGAAGACAATATGAAAGATAAGATAAAACAACCACAAGATCTTCCTATCAGAAAAAGCCTGGAACTCTTTTGTCAGAAAACTAAAACTTGTTAAGTCATTTTTAGATTTTAGTAGGAGAAACTTATTCATACTTGCATGGCAGGATTCTGATAACATCCTTTACTTTAAAGTTTTCAATACACACTGCACAATTCTCGGCATCAACATCAATTCCCTGCAAAGAGAGTTAAGAGTTACACACACACATTACACATATAATAAGTTAGGAAAAAAAAGAAAGCCAACTAAAACAATGGATTCTACTCTATGCTGGAACAATCTGATCCAAAACCACAGATAATCACACTTGACATTTACTTCTTACCACTATTAAGCAGTTATTTAAAGAATCTGAATAAAAAGGGGAAAAAAATTCATTGCCTAATCAGGCATTAGCAGTATTTTAAATAGTATATTGTGTTTGAAAAAATAGACTATTAAGGACTGTAGAAATACAAACCACATACTTTTTTCTTTTTTTGAGACAAGGTCTCTTGTTTTCAGGCTGGCCTCAGGTTCACTGTATAGCCAATTATGACCTTGATTTTTTGATAGTCCTGCTTTCATCTTCCAAAAGTTTAGATTATAGCAGTGAACCACAAAGCAAAGTTTATATGGGGCGGGAGATCAAACAGGACTTCATCAACGCCAGAAAACACTCTACAAAGTTAACTACATTCCAATCTTGCTGGCTATTATGGTTAAAATATTTTCAAGTATAAAACTTGAATATCCAAAGAAAAAAGCTATTTGTCTTCTGGAATTATTTAAAAGAAATCTGTATCTCTCTTAAAGAACAGTTACAACTTGGAGAAAGTACAAATGGCTACATATCTGAAATTTTACTTCATTAAGTGTTAACATCCACCCCCTCCTGATTAGAATGAGTCACCACTTTTGCCTAACAAATGAACAAAGGCACAAAAAACCAAAAAAACAGAAAAACAAAAATTGCTGGCTGTAGGGTAGCAGAGTTGGCAACATTCCTACAACTAAGAATCTATAGGTCATAGACTTTCTGTGAGTTAGTAGGTGTCATTGTAGCCAGGACAAGCTAAGATACTGACACAGGGATTCAGAACACAAGCAGTGTGTACTTCTGAGGCCACAATGTTGGCAGCTTCACAGTACAGAACACAGCCACACTATCCTTGAGCTGTTATTTAACCATACCCTTAGCCAGGTGTAGCAATTAACCAAGAAGCAGTAAAAACCTTATTTAGTATGTACAGACCATTATCAAAGATTTAAAATTAACTTTAATAGCATTTTAAATTTTATGTTGTAATATTTTATGAAAGATTTTCTTATTATTTTTATATGTATTCTTTGAGTTTATGTAAACAATTTACATACACAAAGCCTCAGAGGCCAGAAGCACTGGATTCCCTCAACTGTAGTTATAGGTATGAGCTGACATGGGTGCTGAAAACTAAAGCCAGGTCCTCTGCAAAGCTGTTAGCGCCATCTTTCCAGACCCTTAAATTCTATGTTAGTAAAATTCTATGAAAGTAACAAAATACTTTCACTTCTATTTCATGGTATGCAAGAAACTATTTATAATTCCTTAATAATTTACAAGCTTCCACATTATCACAAGAAAAGAAAAAAAACTAAAAACACTTGTCTACAGAACTGGATAAGATGTAGACTGCAAAAACTCATTTTCCTGTGTAAGTTTATAGAATGTAGAAATGCTTTCAAATCCAGGCACACAACACAGATCATTTAGTGATCTTTTAAAAAATTATTTTGACAATTTTAAAACAGGTTCCTGGTATCATACTTTAATAAATGTTGGGTATAGGAAGAGAATAGCATCAATTTACTTATATTCTCAATGGCTTGGATCAGTAAGTTACACATATGAACCTGTCTTCTCACATGTAAGCAATGAGATTTTTTGCTAAAGAGGGGGGAAAAAACCCATGCAGCAGGTCCAGTAGAATTTTAAGTTTGTATAAAGTATTGATTTCTTCCCTGAAAATGAAATGAAGATTTTTTTTTTTTGAGAAAGGGTTTCTCTCTTGAGTGCTGGGATTAAAGTCATGTGCCACCACCACCCAGGAAAGAATACATTTTTAGAAATCAATTCTCACAGCCTCGATCAGCATCCAATTTATAAATCAGCAGAAGAATTTCCTATTTAATACCCATGAAAAACTCTACACATACTCTGCCTGGCTAGTCACTAACTGGAAACTCTCCTGGTGATTTGCAGTGTAAGGAATCAATACTTTACATCAACTATTCTACAGTGTAAAAGTTATTGGGGGAAGGAATGATCCATCCATACAATCCCAAGCATACCTTAATCCTAAATATACCACAGAAGCCATTAATAACAGATTTCAACTTTTAACACACAGGTTTATAATGTAATGTCTTTTAAGGAAGTCCTGTAAGTAGGGCAGAGAAAGAGAAGGAAGTAGTTTATTTTATATTCTTCCTTCCATGAAGGGAAGGGAGGACTGTAAGATGAAACAGATTGAGTCTCAAAGCTAATGAGCTAAATGAGCAGTATCGACTGATTCCGCTCACAGCTACGAGGTGACATGTTGCTGCAGAGGACGGCCCACTATGAGACCAAATGTTATGACATTAACAAATTTTCCTTCTAAGGGCTGTATGCTTGAGGAGTCAGTGCATCTGGAACAGTGACTTTCCATCTCTGACTGAGCATGAAAAAATGGTTCCCCTTTAAAAGTACAGTTTTTCTTTTCTTTTTTTTTTTGAGACAGGGTTTCTCTGTGGCTTTGGAGCCTGTCCTGGAACTAGCTCTGTAGACCAGGCTGGTCTCGAACTCACAGAGATCCGCCTGCCTCTGCCTCCCGAGTGCTGGGATTAAAGGCGTGCGTCACCATCGCCCGGCTAAAAGTACAGTTTTTAAAACCTTTTCTGTCCTCTACAAATGTTTAGTGTTTTCCCTGTAATTGAGGGGCTTTGAGAGAATGTACAGTCTCAGATCCAACAGATGTATAGTATTACAGGTTCATATTTTTAAATGCAAATCATCTTTATAGTCATTTACTTTGGCCTACCATAACTTTCAATGACAGGAATATTGGCACACTGTTGTCACTGCGTACATACAATGTAGGAACTATCTTTTAAATTAAATTTAATTCATTTAACCTTTTTTGGGGGATGGGGTACTGGGGTCAATCCAGGACTTCATGCATACTAAGTAAGGGCTCTACTACTGAGCCAGACTGTAATTCATTTACATTAATAGCCATGTGACTAATGACTGCTATAATGGCTTCTTCATTCATTGTATTTCTGTCAGCCTTTTTTTTAAAAAAATATTTATTTATTATGTATACAATATTCTGTGTGCATGCATGTCTACAGGCCAGAAGAGGGCACCAGACCTCTTTACAGATGGTTGTGAGCCACCATGTGGTGACTGGGAATTGAACTCAGGACCTTTGGAAGAGCAGGCAATGCTCTTAACCACTGAGCCATCTCTCCAGCCCCATTAGCCTTTCTTTAAAATACTGAAACACATGTATGAAGGCTTAGCAAAGCCTCACATGCTTGTCACTGCTGAAGAGTAGACTGGAAAGAAAGTATTTCTCAAACACATAAACATCCTCCAGTCTGAACCCCAAAGCACAATGAAAGTATTACCTTCTCTCCATGCTTTACAGTGTGTAGTGGAAGCTGGCCAATAACTTTCTTAGTTTCCTTTCTATGATTCTTGGGGAGGAAAACAGTATTATTAAGTAGTCTTTTAAAATAACCCACATAATACAATGTAAACAAAAGTTTTCATTAGTAAAAAAGTTAAATGATTACTATAAAATAAATTAGAAAAAACTTTTGATATATAAAAGAGCCATATAACATATAAGCTACTTGGTAAGAATTACTATTTTTCTTTTCTTTCTCCCTCCCTGCTTTTTGGAACTAATGCTTTACTCTAAAGCCCTACTTGGTCTTGAGCTCAAAACAACTTCTGTCTCAGCTTCTGAAACACTAGGATTACGTGAGCTACTATGACCAGCTAAGAATGTATTCATTTACTTACTTGCTTATTTGCAATTAAGTCTAGAGTCTCACACATGCTGAACAAGTACCCAACCACAGAGCTATATCCCCAGTTCAGGAATAGCTGCTTTTAATTCCATATCTGGAAAAGAACACTTTTTTTTTTGGATGTTGGAGTAGAACTGGAAACTCCTAGCACTCTAAACATGTGCTGCCATTTAGCCATACTTTCACAACTTCCATAAAAACAATTTCTACACTTAAACACTGGCATGAAAGTAACGATGCTCAGAAAGAAGGCACCACCCCCTCTCCATCAACAGTCTCCAAGAGCCCTGCCTGCTTATCAGGCCAGGAAGCCCTACTGTGCATAGAACTGAGTGTGCTACTGGAAGCTCTGGCTCTTCTCTCTGCTCAAGAGTTTGCCTTCAGGTAAATGGCTTATCAGCTACTCTAGTGCAGACAGAGCTCCCCTTTGCTCCTCAGCTTTATGTCAAGCTAGAAAACAGGGTTACATGTGCTCTTTCTGTCACATGCCCTTCTGCTAGTCCTCTCTCTCTATAAAAAGACAAAGAGGGTATGGGTACCTATAGGAACCAAATGTACAAAAAGTGAACTAGACTTAAAAATACATTCCAATTAAAAAATTTATCAAAGTTACGAGTACTTAAATAACAAAACAAAATAGTGCGCTTAAGTGTAACTTCAAGTAGTATATAAAATATACTGATGAGCTATCATTTATAATGAACCAAACTGAATTAATAAATTAAAATGAATAGTTATCCATAACTACCTGACTTCCAAACTGTGAGCCAGCATATAGGAAACGCTGTATGTAATAGAATATTAGCCATGCTAATGAGATAATCATCATCGTGATGAAGGCAATGGCCACAAACACCACAGACTGACCACTGATGAATTCTTGCATATGACGAGTACCAATCCCTATGGTCATTTTTACTGAAATTCCTTTTTGCACCAGATCAAAAATTTCTCGTCCTTTTGGGTAGCTAATCATAATGACAACTGTATTTCCCGTTCCTGCACAGAACAAAGAGATGAACAAAGGCAAAAGTTAGATAAAATTAAGAGTATGTTCATTACTACATCAAATACATTTGAAAACTTCAACAAGCTGGGCGGTGGTGGTACTCGCCTTTAATCCCAGCACTCAGGAGGCAGAGGCAAGCAGATCTCTGTGAGTTCGAGGCCAGCCTGGTCTATAAAGCAAGTTCCAGGACAGCAAGGGCTGTTAACCCTATTTTGAAAAACCAAAAAAAGAAAACTTTAACAAAAATGAGTAATTTTCAGAAAAACATCAACTGCCAAAATTGGTTCCTAAAGAGAAAACAGGCTGACTGAAGCCAGGACACCATTTAGACCCACAGGTGAATCATCAGACCTTTAAGAAGCACAAAATACTAATGGTATTGTTTAAACTGTTTCATAGCTAATTAAAAGGACACTAACAATTTTCTCTAAGCCAGGCATGGTGGACATAGAAGACTTCAGTTTAAAGATAAGCCTGGACTACACAGTAAGTGAAGGTCAGCCTGGCTACACAGTGAGACCTTGTCATGCACCAACAGCCACCCCGCCCCCACAAAAAAACCTACCCCCCGAGAGCTCGATGTAGCTCAATGGTAGAGTACTTGTGTAGTATGTACAAGGTCCAGGGTTCAAATGTCAGAACTATAAAAAGTCTATCTAGGATTATAAAACTCAAAATAGTAATAAAAGGCAAAAGAATCATACAGATTAATTTCACTTATGAATATGAATGTAAACTGCTTCAAACATGCTCATTAGAATTAGGGAATATGTCTACAGAGTGGGTTCCAGAATCGCCAAGGGCTATAAAGAAAAAGCCTGTCAAAAAAAAAAAGGAAAGAAAAAGGGAAAAAAAAATTAGGGAAGATGAGAACTCTATTGTGATTACTACCATTTGTTTTTCTTGCCCTGAGACAGCATCTTATCTCATGATGTAGCTCTGGATGTCATAGAACTCATTACATAGACCAGGCTGACCTAGAACTCACAGAGATCCACCTGCCTCTATCTCTCCAGTGCTAGAATTAAAGGCATGAGCCACCTTGCTAAGCTTGTGATCACTACTATTATTAATCCTTTGAAGACATGGAGCAGCCCTGAGACAAAAGAGGGAGGAAAAAGAGAAAAAAGGGGTGGTGGTGCAAATAAAGCTTCACTTTTATTATGACTAGGTATAAATTAATATAGCAGCCACAAAGTATCAACAAATTAAAAAAATACTCCAAGTCACATAGGGAAACTTGTTAAACAATGAAAGCTGGACTAGTCTTTACAGTTAAAAGTATTAAAGGAGTGTGGTAGTAGCAGATGAAGACATCCACAGAAATAAACCAGGATAGCAAATGATAACAGAAATCAATTTAAGAGAAATGGCTTTAAAAAAAAAACAGATAAAGGCAAATGGTTATGATACTGGGGGAAAATCTACATGTTCTTCTCACAACACATGCGAAAATAAATAACTAAATCTAAGATGTTAAATATGTAAAAAAAAGAAAAGAAACGTACAAAATCCAGAAGAAAGAAGAGAATTAAAAATTCAATTAGAAAAATCCACCTAGAGGACTGTTAAGAAATGTGGCTGTGATAACGCACAACTTTCATCCCATTACTCAGAAGTCAAAGGCAGGCCAACCTGGTCTACAGAGCGAGTTCCAAGATAGCCTGGGTACACAGCGAAATTGTCTCTAAAAACAAAGACTGATAAGCATTACCATCTAATTCTGTACCATCCCATCAACTTAAAAAGAAATCCTACATCTATCCATTAGCAGTCATCTCCCAACAAATGAGTCTTAAATGTATGAAAACATGTTTTCAGCTATCTGTAACACATTAGCAAAAATGTAAAAGTTTCATATATTCTACTGGCAATAATATGCGCAAGTCAGCATTTTGTATACTGTGTATGTGTGTACAGGGCAGGGGAGAGGGGACAGGAAAAGAGGGAGAGATAGGATATGAATTACTCTTGTATGGGAGACCACTGTATCCAGAAACTTAGATGTATTCACATATAAACATGGCAGAATATTTGTAAAAATATTCTTATTCAGTGATTTAAAATTTAATTAAAGATGTTTACTTTATGCATATTAGTGTTTTGTTTGCATGCATGTTTGTGAACCACATATGTGCCTGGTGACTGTGGAGGCCCAAACAGGGTGTCAGATGCCCTGCAACTGGAGTTACAGACAGCTGTGAGCTGCCATGTGGATGCTGAGAACTAAATCTGGGTTCTCTGGAAGAACACCCAGTGCTCTGAACTACTAAGCCATCTCTACAATTCCTTCAGTGAGTTAAAAAATAAAAATCTTTAAAAAAAAGTCAATAATAAGGATTCTTACTGTCAAAAGCATCCTAATGATGTCCTGATAATTTCAGACTCCAGGACCGCTAAATGAGATCGGCCCCACGTCAGTAAGACAGAATCCAAAACAAATGAACTTAGGTATTTCAGACTGTTCAGGAAGTGACTGGACATGCAGAGAGAGGACAAACACAAAGGCAGTCTTTTTATTTCTTTCTCTATTAGGGTATATGCTACATAAAGGCGTGAGGCTTTTTTCGAATGTTGAGTGTCTTTTTTTTTTTTTAAGACAGTGTCTCATGGCGGGCCTTGAATTCCTCCTGCCTCTGCCTCCTGAGTGTTGGGATTAAATATGCATTACGATGCCTGGCAAAAATAAAACAAATTTCTTTTCAGAAAACTCATGAATTTTTTTCACTAACCCCTTCCCAAAGTTTCAAGGACAGAAACCAAAATAAGGTGACATTAACTGAAAACTGTAACTGTACTTACCACTTTCTTTGCTTTAAAAGTTTAGAGCTAGGGGAATGGCTTAGCAGTGAGCGCGCACCTACCAGGCATAAAGCTGATTTCTACTTCCAGGACCAGAGGAAAATAAGTTTAACATCCACTTATTAATACCAACAGTATGCTGAATTTTTTCCTTCAGTTAGTTTTCAACCCAGTTGAAGTTAAACCAATCTAAGTGAGAAAGGATAAACAAGACTAGTGTTTAAGGGGTTGGGAAGCCGTTTAGTGATATAATGTGTGCTTAGCATGGAAGAGGCAGAATTTAAACCCAACTACACTCTCTAAAAATATGTTTATTGCATACTATATGAACGAGACAAACTCCTTAGCATGCTTGAGACCCCAGCTTCAGTCCCCATTAACAATGAGAGGTGGGAAGCAGGCATGAAGAACTGGCTGCAAGACAGAGCTAAAGAGATACAAAGCAGGTCTTCAAGATGCTAGGTGCCTCCAGCTTTGGCTGTTAACTGTGCCCACACCTTAGGCTCCCTTATTGATGAGGCTGCAGGCAGCACCAGCACACTCAAGGCATATTGATAGGGATAAAAGAATTAAGAAGCCTAGGTTTGGGGATATCATAAACATCATTTACTTGGTAAACAACAATAGAAATTCTGGTGTGGAGTAAATAACACAAACATAAGCAATGAGACTCCCCAAATATCACTGCTCAGACCATTTGAAGATACCATTTACAAGTGGTACCAAAAAAGTCGTATCTTCCAGCAGAGAACAAGTTTTGCAGTAATGCTTCTCAAAAAAATCAGTTCTTTCTCTAGCTCTAGTCTCAGTTTAACAGATTTTAAACAACACACCTTGAGGGTTGGTTGAGATGACTTAGCAGAAAAGAGCACACATTGTTTTTGTAGTAATTTCAGTTACTGTAACTCCAGTTCAAGGGGATCTGATGCCTTCTGGCCCCTTTGGGTACTTATTCACATATGGTGCACACAAACTCATAAAACCGCAAATACATACATATACAAATAACAATTCTTTTTTAAAAAAAAAAATCACATTCTTTCCCTGAAGAAAAGGCAGGAGCCTACAATCTGTTACCGCAGCGAACTGTGGCATCACTGATGGACATACGTAAATGAGGACAATTGTCTGGTTTCTATAAACCTAGCCACTTTGGCTACATGTCTTCCTTGATCTCTTGGCCTCCTGGCTCGCTCTGGGCCTCTTGCTTCTGGTCCCTCTCTTACCCTCTCTCTTCTTCCTCTCTTGCTCTCCCCATTCTCTCCTCTCATAGCCCAGATATATCTGGCTGTGCTCTCTCTCATATCTACAATAAATCTCCTCAACCATACCATAGGGCATCAAGCTCTCATTTTTGTGTGTTTGTTTTTCTCAAGAGATGGTTTCTCTGTAGCTTTTTGGAGCCTGTCCTGAACTAGCTCTTGCAGACCAGGCTGGCCTTGACCTCAGAGATCCGCCTGCCTCTGCCTTCTGAGTACTAGAATTAAAGGTGTGCACTGCCACCACCACCGGGCATGTTCTCATTTTTTTCATTCATCTGGTGAAAACAAAGCATGTACTATTTTATCTTGGTGATTTCCACTATAATCTTAGCCACAGGAATTTACTGAACTGCCAGAAGGGCACCCTTGTAATGTGGCTTCTGTTTGCAAGATGATGCTGAAACCAGTTTGAGCCTAACTAAAGGAAACTATGGTTTCTTCAACATGTACAATAATGACCCTGCTGTCACTGAGAAGACATACTGAGAGGCAGGTATTGACTACCTTCAGGAAAATATCCAGCAGTCCAGAAACATGAATAGTAACAACTACAACACAGCTATAACCCACCTAACATTATGACAAGGTACAAGTTAAAGGCCTGTTAATAAAAAAAGAACCTTGCAGAACATTTCAAATAGAAACAATGGTATAATTCTGCCATCTTGGTTAAAAGCTTTTATACTGAAACCCAAGTGGCTTCTACACTACCAGTTGATAACAATTTATGGTGCCAATATCATCACATTCTTTTTGACAATGAGAGATGGGGTGTGCAGGGGCAGGGGAGACCCATCACAAAACATCGCGTAAATGCCATATTGTCATTTTACAGCTGCGGGCTCAGAAAATTTCAGGGAGTTGTTCAATGTTACACATCACCTCGAAATGCTGGTTCTTGGGGTTGGAAAGCTTATGTCCAGGCA